AGAGGACCCAAATTTGGGTCCTCTAGTGACAGACAGGTTAATCTCCGCTCTTCAGGAGAATATTTGTTCCCAATGACTGCTTCATGTCGCAAACTTAGAATAAAAGCGCTTAATGATCTGTAATTAAAGATTCCTAAGCTTTTCCAGAGAGAAAATAAATTGGTGAAGAGCACCTTGCTAAGTGATTGTCTTCACCCTCAGCCAGTTAGTTCGAGGAGGAGATAAGTGCCAGCAGCTCTTTATTAGTGACTGCGACTGTAAATGAGTGTGGAGGTGAACTTCATTGTGGCCTCAGGTCTGGATGTTAGAGGATCAACATGCTTCTTTCTCTCAGACTGATGTGGAACCAGCTGCCATAAGGTCTGTCAGCGTTAATATGCAGCTGCTCTGCAGTGCTTGGCGTTCCACAGATTACTGTCGGCTTCCTGCGCCATGGGCGGCTTGGAACTTTGTCGCACGCAGCAAAATGTGAGTGTGAGGATCAAAATAACAAGTAAATTAAAGCGCATTGCAGTGCCATTTCAGTTTCATTTATGCTGCCAGTTCACAGCAAAAGTAATCTCGTCTCGGAGAAAACAAGTAAACTTGGAGGGACAGCTCAGAATTCTTGAAAGGGAGGTTCTGTCAAAAAGTTCAAAGCATTTATTTTACCTGCAGTACATAACTCTCTTGTTGTGCTCACAAAAATCAGAAGCAAGATTTTTTTGAGTTCCTTGTTGGAAATACAAACGCTAAGTTCACTCAGCGCTCAACGGGGACCTGAATCAGATGGGGTTTTTTTTGCCAATATGTGGCATATATCTTAATTTTTCACATCAGTCTCAAAGGCCCAATTCTGATCTTTTCACCAGAAAAAAAATCTGAAGTGTGCCACTTATATGGGTACTAAATCACACACATATCTGATTGTTTTCAAAGTGACTGAAGTCTGTGTGGTCATGTCCCAGTTTATTCGACTTTTATGTCGTTGATGTGAGACATGCGTCATCATTCTGCACCAGTAGATCAGGATGTACATAATGGCTGAACATTCTGATGATGAAATTATAAAAGAAGTCTTTAGTTGGGGGTGGTCTGGTGGCTCAGGGGTGTATGGAAGCTTTAGTCCTTGAAGCGGATGTCACAGGTTCAAGTCCCAGCCTGATGTCCGGGACTTGAACCTGCCTGATGGAAACAAAAAGAGAGATTTTACTGTCTCTTAGACAGGAAAATGTCTAAGAGAGGTTAGACATTTTCCTATCTAACCTCTCTTAAACAAAGGCTGCCAAAAAAGTAAAAGAAGTCTTTAGCTACATTTCCATTCCAAATATGTGTCAAATTTTGTGAATATTCTGTAATGTCGAAAAAACACAATTTCATAACTGTGGCATTTCCATTTAAGAAGAAATGCAAGAAAAATCACACCTGGATAAGTTTGTTCATGCAATGAGGCATTCAAAAACACACCGCAGGTTCGTCCTCCAACTACTTCCTGTTGTCTTGCTCATGGTTTGCACCACTGGCAACATCTAGTTGTTGATAATGTGACACCTGCGATGGAAAAATAGTGTTTCCTTTGCAGTTTTGAAAAATAAACCAATTTTGATAGAGCAGAGACACCCACCTCCTCCATGTGGCAAAATGTTTTATCAAAAGTTACACATATTTGATCAGTGGAAACATCTTTTGCCGGTGAAGCACATCACATCACAATCCCACCATTCTTGGCTTCCTATAGAGGTTGCAGTCATTTCTCCACAAAAAGCTGTTTCTATTAGTTGTTTTTTCTTTTAATTAGCTTTCTTTATGTTGCTATGAACAACATGCTCCCATTGGTGTATTAACTTAACATAAACAGCTCCATCAGTCATTACCTCCATAAACAGGGAGTTGTTGTGTGACATCATGTCAACGTTCTTCTTCTGTGCATGTGGGTCACTTTGATGTTGTAAATCCTTCACACAGAAATCTGATTACACAATCTGATTGGTTAGGATTATCAACTTTTGATGTTTTATACTCTTCAAGTTCTCTTTGTCAACGTGTTCCTTTAGTGTTGGAACAAACAAAATGGAGATTAATATCAGATTCTCAGTCTCCAATTTGCAATTAAAATACTATTAATTCAGAGCTCTGGATTTCAACTTCCCGGTCAAATCCAACGCTGTGTCAATCTGGATTATTCTGACCTGGAGTTTGAAGTTAGCAGCAAGTCCAAAGAAGACATGTATGCACTTTAAAACAGGTTCTGTCATTGCAGTTTACTTCAAATCAATTTTAGGAACCTCTAAATTGTTGTCATATTTCTATAAAGTGCTAATATTGGGCGGTACCTTATTCTGTTTTGTGGGTTTGGACCAGGATGTCCTTACGTCATGCAGTTTACTAAAAAACCCAAAATGTGGGGTCTAATCATTTATCATTAAAAAGTTTGATTTTATTTTTCACTTTTGGGATAACTAGATAGAAGTAAATGATTGACGTTCACCAAAAGTGTCTTATATAATTCTGTCATATTTCATAGCTTCAGATTGGGAATTTGGGAATTCAAAAAGTTCAATAAAGTTGAATGAATTTGTGAAGCTATAACAAAACCCATTACGCTGACGTGTGTAGCTTAAGTAAGTAAACAGAGCTGATTCTTTTTATTTATTTGCAAGTTTTCTTTGTTAATAAATTAAAGAACATCTCATTTAATTAGGTTAAATAAATAATCTTCTATGGTGAAACAAGCCCCTCAGACTTGATGTAATGTTGGTGAGATGCTTCACCGCAGTTAGTTTTCAGAGACTGCTTTTCTGTTTCGCTCATCAGCCTTGTACTGTCATGTAATCACAACTTTAAGTACAAATTACACACATAAAGAGAGAGACGACACTCTGCCTCTGAGCTCATACTGAACTATGCAGTCCCCGCAACAACACACACAAATACACACAGACAGGAAATAATGTGACCATACAGTATTACAAACACAACAAAAACAATGTACATCAAGCACACCTTGAAGATTACAGCTTTCTAATACAGTGTTGAGAAATCTGCAATGAGAATTTTATTTTATTATTTTCCATTACTGGATGAGAATAGAAAAAAAATCGACATGGAAAACAAATTTCCCAACTTTACTTTTCTTTTCCACATTTCTCAGTATATAAAACAAAAACCTTGGGCCTGTCGAAATTAACTCGATAAGCTTAATAAGCTCAAGCTAATTAGCTGGTCTAGCTCTGCACCTCTAAAAATTAGAACATGTAGCTGATGTAAGTTCAGGTATCTTACCGCAATGGTGATATAGCTCTGTAATCAGCCAAATTTGAGAACCCAGTTTATCTGTAGGCTCGGAGAAAAGTGAAGTCTTAACTCTGGCTGATTCAGGTGTTAACACCTTCTTCTTCAAACATTAAGAACTCAAAGGCGTTAGAGGTTTTTTTTTTTCTTGCTAGTAGATTTACTTCAGACGCACAAGAGTCAAACACATAAGAAAAATATTTTCGGCTCACATTGCAGCCTTGTCAAAACTTACATGCCAGTAAATGACCTGGCCCTGCTAAGCTCTACAGCTTTAAAATGGGAATCACTTCATCCTAATGCCTAGTGAATGAAACCGTTAAATGTGTGAATTTAACCAATAGAAACTGAATATAAGCATAACGTCCACAACAGCGCCTTGGAAAAACCTTTTCATGGTCACTATGTTACAACTTTATGAAACGTTTGTGGTTTTTAAAACTCAAAGTTGTGTATAACAGTGGAATCAAAGGCAAGTGACATATTGTTACTTAACTGTTTCAGAAATAAAAAGGTGAATATGTAAATTTAAATGTGGCAAACAACTACTACTACTACTTGTACTCATCAGCCCTAGTATGAGACATGGTGATGGCAGCATCATACTGTGGGGATTATTTGATACAGTGTGGGTAGGGAAACCGGTCAGTTGTGAGAGGCAGCAAAAGATTTGAGACTGCAGTCAAATGTGAATACATGCCACACTTTTCAGATTTTTGCTTAAGAGATATTCTGTCTCACAATTGTGAGTTTATGTATTTTATTTCAGTCTGTTGGTGTTAACATGACAAAATGTGAAGCGTTTACTTCTATTGTTAGACGGCGACCATTATTTTAATGTAAGTCAAATATTATGAATAAGTTCCTTCAGATCAGCCAGTGTGAGTCAGCGTGATGAAATATTGAGAGTATCAGTGTTTTGGTAACAAGTCCAGCATGCTGAGAATACTTGTTGGGTAATTCCTTCATTCTTGGTCACTGCCAGTGAGCAGTGTGGCTTCCAGCTGCCATCACAAACTGCTGCTGCCAAAACGAAACCAGTTCCCCGGCTAAAGACACGGTTAGCTGAACAACGGAACATGATGGGATCAGATAGGAAAGTCTGATCGCTGCGTGTCTGAACGGCTCAGCGGGGCGCAGGGCTCCGTTACCTTCACCATATGGAGAGGCTTTCATTAGCAGCAGTGTTAGCAATTAGAAGAAGACGTGGCACCATGTGCATGCATGTGTGTGTGAGCCGTGTTTCCAATCTGCCCTGTGTGAACATTGCATTCTGTCTTACAGAACTGGTTGGACCCCTCCAAAGAGATCAAGAAGCAGATGCGCAGTGAGTGTCTTTTCGGAGAACATTAGTTTACTAAAATATATATTTTTTTTTATCAAGTTAATGCAACTTCAGTAAAATGGACTGGAAATAACTGCACTGTGAAGAAACACCTTTTCTGCTTGTTTGTTTTTATTGTATTTTGTTCTAGTTACAGATTTCCTCTATTTTTGCTCCTTTGTTGCATTTGAAGCTCAAACCAAAGTTATTCTCACACCTGGCAGATTAAGTTAGAACTACATGATGTTTGAATGAACAAAGCATTTAAGAAAATGAACGTAATACCAGCTGTTAAATACTGTGGTCATGTCATGGCCCAGGATGCTTTTGGCATTAGGTTAAACAGATGCCATGAATACCTCCATATGGTTGAAATGAAACATTTTTTGAAAGAAAAATGGTTTAAAAATACTGATAGTGAGGAATCACAAATGTGCCAGCACCTTCTATGGCAGGGGTCCCCAAACTTTTCCCTGCGAGGGCCACATAACTGTTCCCTTTTCTGGTCGGGGGCCGGTCTTAGTTTTTCGAGAAAGAAACCTTAGAAAAGTTTTGTTGAAGGAGGGGGAGGGGGGAGTGAAGCTGTGGACCGGGGGGTTGGATTACTGCCAACGACATATTC